ATGTATCAATAGATCATAGAAAGAGTGGTTAAAGCAGAATGTGCCATGAACAAAAGATTTTCAAGATGAAACTTTTAATAGACACACTGATTAATCAAACAGCCTCCAGATAGGTCTTAAATTTAAGTAGGTAACTAAATATCCAACTATTCATGAGACAGCGCAGTCACTCAAGTTCTCCCACTGCTAATATTCCAAGGGTCAACATTTTCCCCACAGTGACAGTGTTGGGTTCTAAGTGGATTAACTTTACAAGTGAATTTATACTAGGTGGCAAAAAGCATCCTCATTGATTATGAGAATTTGGATGCGAGTAAACTTTGTTTTACATGTACACCTCTACCCCGATATAACGCTGTCCTCAGGAGCCAAAAAATCTTACTGCGTTATAGGTGAAACTGCATTATATCGAACTTGCTTTGATCCGCCGGAGTGTGCAGCTCCGCCCCCCCGGAGCGCTGCTTTACCGCGTTATATCCAAATTCGTGTTATATCGGGTCGTGTTATATCGGGGTAGAGGCGTATTACTATAATTCCAATTTGCTGAAGCAGAAGCACATTCATTCTGGAGTATTAACCTAATATAAGGGCAGGTCTACACTAACCCCCCAATTCGAACTAAGGTACGCAACTTCAGCTACGTGAATAACGTACCTGAAGTTCGAAGTACCTTAGTTCGAACTTACCTCGGTCCAGACGCGGCAGGCAGGCTCCCCCGTCGACTTCGCGTACTCCTCTCGCCGAGCTGGAGTACCGCAGTCGACGGCGAGCACTTCCGGGTTCGACTTATCGCGTCCAGACAAGATGCGATAAGTCGAACCCAGAAGTTCGATTTGCTTGCCACCGAACTACCGGGTAAGTGTAGACCTACCCTAAAAGTGACTTGTCAGCCAGCCCTGTCATGTCAGCTAGCACTCGACCTGAAGTGATGAAAGATCTCCTAGCAAGGAGAACCCTGAATCTCAATTTTTTGCACTCCAAAGGCTGAGTAAAATTGGGAGTTTAGGCACTAGCTTTTGAAGTTAAGTTTTAGTTATGTCCTGCTGCCACAATGCCAGATAGTTTCACAAGCCCTAAATGTGTTCAGAAATACCAATCCATTGGTTTGACTATTTATTTGGTTTTTTTAGTTCTGAGTAATTTTTAAGAACGCTGCATTTTCTTATACCCTGTGTGATATTGGGAACACTGAGCAGCTCGAAATCCCAACTGTTACTCATCTAGACATACCATATTTTGGGTCATCCATTGTTTAGTTCCCAAATAAACCCCACTATATTACATAGGTATAATACATTTTTCTGATTTACTGAAAATTTCCTCTAAATTACAAGGTCCACAGATCTAATGACCAATAGACTCTCAACTTCATGAAGCTACAGAAACAGAAACAGACTTGTCAGTCACTGCCACGGGAGAGCATGGCAAGCTACTCTGAAGAGCTCACCAGTTGAGACAGTTTCCATGGCAAAGGGTAATATCCCCTGTGGTCTGAAACTTAATGAGATTATATGCACTACAGTATTATACTGTGAGTTCCTACCGTAGAGCATAATTTTGAGCTAATTTGAATGAACTGAACAGGATTTTTTATCCTACTGGGGTCAGATCTGAGGATCTTGTAACTCAGAGGAAGGAAATTTTTAGCAAATCAGAATAAAATTTCCCTCTTCTCTTTCATCTACAAGGCCCATTGATTCATTAACCAATGGAATTTTCATAGTGTGGCTTCAGGGAAGGTTCAAACAGAACTAACTACATATAGGATTTTAAATTCCTTCTCCACTACTCAGATCACAGCATGAAACATTCTCTAACTGAAGGTACCATCCACTGATGCCTGAATGTCCAGCTTATACATTTTTGAAAAGGGATGAATGGATAACCCAGTGGCTGTCCTGCAGATCTCATAGCACATGTAGTTTCTTAGCCGGGTCAGCTGTTGCCACTCTCAGTGAGTGGACTTTCACCTCAGTTGCTTGGAAAGAGACACTGACTTTTAGACTTCATGAATGCACCATCTCAGCCATTTTAAAACAGTGGATTTTGATACTCTCTTTTCTTTATATATCAGACGGTAGAGAATCAATGGAGCACTGTGTGTGACAGAGGTAGATCTCAAAGGCTCTACCAACATCCAATATATGCCACAACTTCTTTCTTGGGAGAGAATTTTTCACAGAGCCCCCAAAAAATCATACTCGCCACTCGCCATACTCCATATCATTGTGGAATATGTAGTATTATCCCCCAATAGATAAGGCCCTAAGCTCTGCCACCTTCTGGGGGAGTAATGGCTACCAGGATGGCCACTCTGATGGAGAGGAAATATATGGATGCCTTCCTGTTGGGCTCAATAAGATAAAGAGTCAAGATGTTAAGGACCAACTTTAGGTCCCATGGCAGTGCTCAATAAATCTTAGGAAGATGAACTAAAGATGTAGCTATAAGAAATCACTTAACATCCCAGCATAAAGATATCCTCATCCTGTCTATATGCTGGATTGTGCAGCCACTGGACATTTTGAAGTTGAAACTGTAAAGCACTTGATCAGACACTGAACACCTTTTCTGCAGCTCATGAGAGTGAGGCTTAGATAGTCTGCACTGGGGGGGGACCACCTTTGAAGAAAAATTGCTATACCAGAGTCAGGTCAATTATGCTAAATCCCAGGATTCAACACTCTTCCAACCCTTGTCCTCAACTGAGGCTGCTGGTGACTGAAAACTTCCTAAAGGGATAAAACTCTGCCCCTGGAGAGGAAGCAAATATCCTGGGACAGAGCTGGAGGGGATGTCCCATGGGTAGGGGCTAGGAACACAGATTGAGGCACCTCCTGCACAAACTGGTATCAGGTGGCTGGGGAAACCCCTGGAGGGAGTCATGCTCAACATCTCCTGAGTCCCCATAGGAGCCCTTTTATGAGAAGGAGCAAGGGGGAGTATGGGGATGAGCTGGTTGGCTTGCATTACAGCATGAAACACAACTATAGAGGTAAGTTTATAGCCAAAATCTTTCCTTTAAATAATGTTTTTGCTCTGTAGCAGACAGCCCAATAAACCTCCTTGCAGCTATGGAGGCAGAACAAACCACACAGACACACACAAAATAGTGAACTCTTCAGTGTGAGGTGACCAGTTCTGTCTATAGAGTTGCATAAAGGATGAGAGCTCATTAGTTAACAGATCTGTGGACCTCATAGACAAAAGAGAAACTATTATTTCAAGTAGCAGTGCACACTGATGATCATTTGACAAACTACACAATGTTTACAGAGTTTCATGTCCTAAATAAAAATGCAGCACAATTTAGAGGTTCTTTGGAGCAAACTTTGCTTTTAAGCAACTGTCACAGGACCTGGTCACAGGGTCTGAAAATGTGATACACTAATCCATTCATTTGGGCAGCTCTGATGTCAGATTCTTTCGCAAGAACATCGTTTATCATATCACTTTGGGCTTGATCTTGTTGCACTGAAGTTAACGGGATTTCTGATTACAATGGGTGCACAACTGAGTCTAAATTAAATTGTGCTGTAGCAGAGATAAATAATTTTTTCTTAATCTGTCCTGGAAGAATCTCATTAAATCAAAGTTATCATAAAAAACTATAGCTATGATAATTCACTTTTATGCTCCACATGTTAATATATTCATTGATTCACCATAAGGAATTCTGCTGATATGCACAAATTCTTTTATAGAAACAGACAGCAGATTCTAATATGAGGCAGCTGATTTCTTAAAGAGCTTTCCAGATATGAAATATTTCTGCAAAAATGTGCTGAAAAACATCACTTCTTTTTTTACCGGATTATGTACACAAATTGAGTAGCAAACATTTCCAATGAAGAATAAGATATGACTTTGTAATAAAAACAATGTTCAAAAGCTCTTGAATAAAATATTGCTTTGTTGAAAATATCTTTAAAGAAGAACGCTTTGAATTTCAATTTTAAATTCAAAGCTGATTTGTCTACTTGCATTAGTCACTTAACTTTATAAAATGTAATTCAGACAGTGTGAAATAATGAAATTCATGTCAAGCACAAGAAATTTTGCAATCAAAGCAATGTTATTGCACCACTACTTCGAAAGTTTTGTGGATTTGTTAATGTATGTGTTTTGGAAATGATACTGCTTCATGTTATTTACATTTCCTCTTTCAGAAAGTAATGTTGACAATCCTCTTTTAAATTCAAATGGTTTCCTAACAGCACAAAAATTATAAGGTCACATCTGCTAAGATTTTATTTACATTAGATGTGATATTTTAAAATGCATGTCTAATTTGCATATGGCATTACTGTGTACACCAACCAGGTATCTGCAAAAAAGCAGGCAGTTATGGATCTAGCCAAATTTGCAGTTAGTGCCTAATTAGCTTGTGCAGTTCTAGTAACTACATGCAAACTCAGACCCTAAAAATTGTACTATTCATCCCAAATCTGTGTTTAAAGAAATTCCTAAAAAGGCATAACTGGCTGGCCCAAGTTTTTGTGGCAGTCTTCAGGTTCAGAAAACCCATTAGACATCAGTCATGTTACAATTCTCTTCAACAACCACTAAAACTAAGCACACTAAATGCCGCCTTTTACACAAATACCTCCTGCTAGTGAGCCACAGAGTAGCACTATTGGTATTACACCTGGGTCAACAAATGCATTTTGTGGCAGTAACTCAGGCAGGGAAGGGACAGAGGGTTAATAGCCTCATTATTCAGGTACCTCCTGACAACGGATTCAAACAAGGGCAATGGCATTAGCCTCTATCAAGTAAGCAGGTTTATCCCTGCCCCAGAGGAGTTCCATGGTCATAGGCATACCCAGAATCAGGGGTAAAATGGTCTGCAAGGTTAAACAGGACCGGGGGATTCCTCTGGATTAAACAAATTGAGAAAACCCACGCTGCAACGAGGAAGACAGGAATAAGTCACTATTCCAGGTCTTTACATTTTGAAACCATACAGTAATTTAAGAGTGTTTTATAACATCACCTACCTTCACTCCATGTCCAATATCATCTAGAATTGTGTAATCAATAGGTTTTCTAATGTAGCGAACTGGTCGCTCCAGGTTGGCTGGTGCAATGATTTTGTGGGTTCTTGAGGTGTTTTTGTTCGTAGTCAAAATGCCAATTTCTCTTCTAGCAACTTTCTCTTTATGGATGTCCACCGTCTGCAACACACAACGTGTTTACCAATAGTGTTGAATATTAAGTGTACATTTGGTATTAAAAAATTGATTCGGCTCCATGATTTTATGAATTGAAGTTATATAGAGATATATCATATAAATATTTGCTGAGTAAGCGCTGCTTACACTCCTTTTGTTCAATCACTGTTAGAAGTTACCACCTTCTGATTTCACTTGAACTCTTTACAATTAAGCAAAATCCCTCCTAATGTTTCCGCTCTATTAGCAACTATTATTAATTCGGTTTCACTAATTTAACAATTTTTGTACTTTGACAGCAATTTTAAATGTTAAATGAGTATCTATAATTTAACAGGTTTCAGAGTAGCAGCCATGTTAGTCTGTATCCACAAAAAGAACAGGAGTACTTGTGGCACCTTAGAGACTAACAAATTTATTTGAGCATAAGCTTTCATGGGCTACAGCCCACTTCATCAGATGCATGTAGTGGAAAATACAGTAGGAAGATATATATAGATATATACACACACACACACACACAGAGAGAGAGAGAGAGAGAACATGAAACAAAGGGTGTTACTATACACACTATAAGGAGAGTGATCAGTTAAGGTGAGCTTTTATCAGCAGGAGAGAAAAAATGGGCCATTACACAAAGTAAAAGTATTTCTCCATGCTTATTTCCCCCTCCCCGCCCCAGTTCCTCATATCTCCTTGTCAATTACTGGAAATGGGCCTTTTTCATTACCACTACAGTTTTTTTTTCCTCTTCCTACTGTATTTTCCACTACATGCAGCCGATGAAGTAGGCTGTAGCCCACGAAAGCTTATGCTCAAATAAATTTGTTAGTCTCTAAGGTGCCACACGTACTCCTATAATTTAATAGTCACCCTCCCAAAATGTCTTTCACTCTGATGAGGCCCCAAAGGTCTTTTCCCAGTCTGTTTCCCCCAGTTTGTGCGTGTGTCCTGTAATACAAACCTCGGACATAATTAATTTGTTTTGTCAGATTGTGGAGTAGTTTCTCATTATGATAATTTATTCATTCATAGTAGCAGTGGTATCAAAACGGATAATATTGTTCAGAACAATCAGAACAGGTTTCTCAGTTACTACACACAGTTTACTCTGCATTAAGGGTCAGATTTCTGAAAGCGCTTAGCACTTATCCAGCTATTCCCACTGTAGCCAATGGTAAAACGTCCACTGACTTCAACGGGAGCAGCATTAGGACCAAAGTTAAACACTTTTGAAAATCCCACCCTACATGCACAGTTCTATTATGGTAGAACAATGAATATGCAGCAAAGTATAATTAAAAACTATCACTGCCAAACAGATGTCCCATGAAAGTTCCAGAGATATTAACATTCTAAACTGATTATTGCTGTGTCACTAAGCAAAAAAAAGCAAGGAACTATGAAGTACAAGCCAGATGCCACATCTTTAACTTATCCTTTGTACCTAAGTGCTACAGATGATACTGTGGGCCAAATTCTCTCTACTTGAACTCCTGTGAAGTAAATAGAGTTACACTAGTAGAGAATTTGGTCCCTCGCATTCATCCATCTGTGACCTCAGACTGCACAGTGGTTCTCAAACCTTCATATATTGTGAGTGGTTTAAGATTCATTTTTAGACCATCCCACAATCCTGACTGCTTCTTCCCTACTTCCATTGCAGTGCTTGATTACACAGAAATAACGTTAGTACAAGAAAAGATTAAAGTACACTTGCTTTAACACAATTACTTATATTGCTTTGTGCTTTTGCTCTATTTCTTCTCCCTTGACACAGAGTTATGTTTAGTACCAAACCTCCCCCAATTTCCTGCAGCTTTAATTGCTAATCTCTCTAGGTCACTTGATATGGTTTTCCTTAGCTTGCTGTTGATCCAGTTTCAGTAAAATTGGTCACATTTGAATTTACACCAAAAGAACTTGCACAAAACAGAGCAGTTGTGCAGGGTAAACAGAGGTATCTGATGGATTTTTATTTAACTGGTCAAAAATCCTCTGGAAATCCTAAGGGTCTTGGCTTGGGACACAACAAGGAAAGAGCAATGTAACTTGAAGGCAGACTTAGGCCTGGTCCACACTAACCCCCCACTTCGGACTAAGGTACGCAAATTCAGCTACGTTGAATTTGAAGTACCTTAGTCCGAACTTACCGCGGGTCCAGACGCGGCAGGCAGGCTCCCCCGTCGATGCCGCGTACTCCTCTCGCCGAGCTGGAGTACCGGCGTCGACGGCGAGCACTTCCGGGATCGATCCCAGAAGATCGATTGCCTGCCGCCGAGCCAGGAAGTAAGTGTAGACGTACCCTTACTTTCTTATTGCGAAAGAAACAGTTCTATGGACCACCGTTTCAGAGTCACAACAAGACAACAAAGCACTTGAAACCAACATTTTGGTCAAGCCCATTGCTGACCTCAAATTTGGTAATTTCACATGAGGAAATTTATACTGTGAAGAAAGTTTCAGCTATGTGGGTTTATATAATCCTATCAAAATCACCCTCATTGCGATTTCTAGTGTCTCCTTTTTGTTACCATTTTAAACAAGAATTTAGTGTTTGTGAATGGTAACAGACTGACTTTACGCAGTCAAGAGGGAGAGAAGTCCTCTTTATACAAAGTCCTATGTGTAGCAAGAGATCTGTTCTGTGCATGTACACATTCTCATAGCAACAAAAATAACTTCTTAGTGCTTTACACTCCTGTTTACACTGCAGTCAACAAAACTAAGAGCAAACGGGATTCTGTTTCATCTTGTGCATCAGAATCATTTTTATTACTTTCCAGTCAATTACACTTATGCAAACTCTTTCAAGAAAATAGGGTTGCCCCAGTGTCCCAACAGAGGCATTAGCTAAAGACATGAATTAAATAGTATCTTATTAAAAGTATAAACACATCGGTCTTCCTTGAGGAATACTGTATTAGCTGAGGCACTACTATAGTTATCAAATAATGAAATACTTAAAAACCTATTAAAACAGAAAATGATCCAATGGAAATGGGCTTGCATGGCAACCCAAGACTGCATCTTTATCTCTTAAATATAACTACTGAACAACTGAGGATCTGACCGTGGCACTCACTTGTGGTAAATATATAAAGAATTACCTGCAAAGATTTTGCAGACAGAGGTTTTTCAAGAAACTAATTTGCTTGGTTGGGAGACTATTGCAGATGTAGTATCTTATTCTCTAAAACAACTATCTTGCAAGAACACTGAGGCAGTTGATTATATGAGAAACTGACAACTCAGATTAATCTGCAACCAAGGAAACAGAAATACTATGATCCTCAATACAAAGGTGACTACCATCACCACTGTCATAAATCCCTGAAGTAACAAGTACTGACGGTGTGTTTATTCAATAGTTTATAACTTCTATCAAGCTGATCTTATCATGAAAACATTTTCCTCAGAAAACCTCTGGAGTAAAAAAGATTCTATTATCTTCATTTTAAAATGCATGGGCGTAACAGGCTCCCCCCGGGGTGCCACCTGGAACTGAGCCACCACTGAGCCCTCTGACCTACCAGCCTGGGCTTCCCCTCACACTGTGCTGCTGTGCCAAGCTGCAGACCCGCTCCCAGTCTTACACTTCCACCAGCATTCACACAGGTAGGGACACACCCAGCTGCAGTTACAGGCAGGCTCTCTGACCAGGCCCTCAGGAGGGCTCACCAGGTGATGGATAAGCTTCTCCTAAGGGTACGTCTACACTTACCGGAGGGTCCGACGGCAGGCAATCGATGTTCTGGGATCGATCCCGGAAGTGCTCGCCGTCGACGCCAGTACTCCAGCTCGGCGAGAGGAGTACGCGGCATCGACGGGGGAGCCTTCCTGCCGCGTCTGGACCCGCGGTAAGTTCGGACTAAGGTACTTCGAATTCAGCTACGTTATTAATGTAGCTGAATTTGCGTACCTTAGTCCAAAGTGGGGGGGTAGTGTGGACCAGGCCTTAGACCTACAGTTTCCCCTAATGACTCACTGCCCTGGATAGGCCCTTCCCCACCCACTATCTAGACTGAACGCATCTTGCCTAATGGGTGTCATCCATGTGTAACTACATCTGAAATACAGACACGTCATAACTTCAGCTACAAAAATAATACATGCATACAAATAGGATAATCATATTCAGCAAATCATAACTTTTTCAGTGACAACTTAGAATTTGTCCCTAATCAGCAATTTCAGGCTATTGCCAACATTGTTTTGTGAACTTCTCCAAAGCTCTATTAACTTTGGGCCACTGCTTTCAATTGTCAGATGGTAAATATCTGGGCAGAATTTAGGAACAGTTACTATTAATCTTTTGATAAGCAATTAAAGATGACTCCGAGAAAATTAGAGTAGCTTCAGAAAACAGCATTTGCTAAAGAACACATTTGAGGCAGTTTAAGTATATGTTCCAACCTATTCTTCCATCCGTAACTCTCTAGGCAAGTTTGAAATGCTAATATTCAATATGTACTTTGGCAAAATGTTGTACCAGTCAGTTCTGGAAAGGGGTTACACTAATAATGAGTGCATTAGATAATTTTTGAGCAATCACCAATTTACTGCCACCTCTTACATTAGAAATATCTTCAAAATCCTGTAAGAGGAGTCTCTCAGATTATTAAACTGGCCTTCTAAAAGATTGACTATTTGTTGACAAATTTCAGAAGTGAAATTGCAAAAGGAGTCCTGAATGCTTCCAAACTGGATTTCTGAAAAAACATAAGATTCCATACAATTCTAACTAGGACTTGCAACTATTCTCAGAGTATGTGGCTAGTAGACTTTTAAAATTCACTTTTAAAAACTTGATTGGAGACAAAAATCACTAAGTTCAACAACACTGACAAATGTTTTTGGAAAGGAATGGATCTTAAATATTTTAAAAATACTTATTCGCCAGGAGTTAAACATTCAGAGCACTAGGCAGAAATCACGTCGCGTCAACACCCACCGCTGGCCTTCGTGATGCTTTGTTTTAATTAAACAGTCAGATTCCCCTG